AGAGTTTGGCGGGGGAAGTGGGGGGGCTGCCGGTGGTCGCCATGACTGGTGCTGCTGCCGCAGCTGCCGCTTCTGCCTGGAGCTGAGTCGGGAGGCGCGGCAGGCGAGGAAGGCGCTGTCCATTCAGCACCACGGCGCCGCCACCGCCGCTTCGCTTCGGGGAGTAGCCCAACTCCAAAGCGCCGCTGATCCAAGCTGTAGTTGCCTTACTCCGTGGGGAAGAGGGGAATCCACACTGTTTATCTGCCTCTGTCAGAACCCAGGTTCGACAGCGATCGGTGCTCGGAAACGAAGGCATCATCATCATCATCCTGGAGGGAGGACCCCGCCCCAGAGATGCAGGCGAGGTGCTTAGGCAAGTTTCATGCTCCTAAGCAGGATCGGAGCAACAGCAGCTCTTGAGGTAAAGAGGGAGCGGGTCTCGTTGACGGGGTTAACCTTTTTTGGGGGGGGCGGGGGAGGTTGAATCGGAGTGGGAATCGGGTGAAGGGCTGGAAATCATCTGCTTTCCCAATTCTTGCCTATGGTGGAGAAGGGCTTACTTTGTAAGCCTGAGAGGTGAAGGAAAAGCATCAGAGGCACCTGCCTTGTCGCCACAGCTCTACAGACTTTAGGGAAAGAGGCTCTTGGTGTTTCACCTGGCACGGGGGAGCTGTTTTGGCTGCTCACCCCATCATTAAAACCCATGCCCTATTTCTGGTTTTTGCTCCACTCCACAGCAAGGAGGGGCTTTGACAGTCAAGAGCTACGTGTGGTATTGTGTCAGCTCCAGCACTGCCAAAAGGATGAGCGGAGAAAGAAAAGAGAGGAACGTTAAGGAAATATAAGGTATTAATTTGTAATTTGTTCTGAATCCACCATATTCTCTGCTGTACCTAAGGACAAAAGCTACATTTCATAGAAAGGACCTGATAGCACAGCAATTTGAAGGGGCATAAGGTGTTGTGTGTGCAATTGTATCTGATCCAAACAAAATTGGGGAGGGGGATGCAGATCTATTGGCTAAAAGTGATTACTTCCTTTAATTATTCCATAGGTTTCCACTCTCCCTACCCTCTACAGATTTAGAAGACGTTCACTATGACGGGGCTCAGTCTAAGGGATTTATCCGATGCTGATTTTGAAGATAATGAGATCAGCATCAATGTTGGAGGATTTAAGAAGAAGATGAGATCCAACACCTTGCTGAGATTCCCTGAAACACGGCTGGGTAAACTGCTGAGCTGCAATTCAAAGGAATCAATTCTTGAGCTTTGTGATGATTACGATGATGCTAAGAATGAATTCTACTTTGATAGGAACCCCGAACTTTTCCCTTATGTATTACATTTTTACAACACTGGGAAGCTGCATGTGATGGGGGAGCTCTGTGTCTTTTCCTTCAGCCAAGAGATTGAATATTGGGGCATCAATGAATTCTTCATTGATTCTTGCTGCAGTTACAGCTATCATGGGAGGAAAATGGAACCAGATCAGGAAAAGTGGGAAGACCACAGTGACCAGGAAAGCACTAGCTCTTCATTTGATGAGATCTTGGCCTTCTACAACGATGCTGCTAAGTTTGACAATCAACCATTTGGGAAAGTCAGGCGACAGCTATGGCTCGCTTTAGACAACCCTGGCTATTCAGTCCTAAGCCGAATATTCAGTGTCCTTTCCATAATGGTTGTTCTTGGATCCATAGTAACCATGTGCCTCAACAGCCTCTCTGACTTTCAGATTATGAACAACAATGGGAATTTGGAAGAAGACCCTCGATTTGAAATTGTAGAACATTTTGGCATTGCATGGTTCACCTTTGAGCTTGTGGCAAGGTTTGCAGTGGCCCCAGACTTCTTGAAGTTCTTTAAGCATGCACTGAATCTGATTGACCTCATGTCCATCCTTCCATTTTATATCACTCTAATTGTTAACCTGGTAGTGGAAAGTAGCCCCGCTTTAGCTAATTTGGGTAGAGTAGCCCAAGTTCTGAGACTGATGAGAATATTTCGCATCTTAAAACTTGCTCGGCACTCAACAGGCCTTAGATCTCTGGGAGCCACCCTCAAGTATAGCTACAGAGAAGTAGGGCTTCTCCTGCTTTACCTTTCAGTTGGAATCTCTATATTCTCTGTAGTGGCCTATACCATTGAAAAAGAAGAAAACAGGGCCTTAGAGACCATCCCTGCTTGCTGGTGGTGGGCTACTGTTAGTATGACCACGGTTGGTTATGGAGATGTTGTCCCCATGACCACTGCAGGCAGGCTGACAGCTTCTGCCTGCATCCTGGCTGGCATCTTGGTAGTAGTCCTCCCTATCACACTCATTTTCAACAAATTCTCTCATTTCTATAGGCGTCAAAAGCAGCTAGAAAGTGCAATGAGGAGTTGTGATTTTGGGGATGGGATGAAAGTGGTTCCTTCAGTCAATTTAAGGGACTATTATGCCTACAAAGTTAAATCCCTTATGGCTAGTCTCACAAACATGAGCAGGAGCACACCCAGTGAACTAAGTCTGAATGATTCATTGCATTAGGCTCTGGTCTGAAGAATTATTTGCATGATGGAAAACCAAGAGTTGTATCTGTGTTTGTTGTTGCTCTCACCCCAAGGTCTAATGTTGTTGATAATTCCCCAGGGAACAGATGGTCCACATAACCATTTTTTCCACTGCAAGACATCCTTTTTTTGTGAAAACAAAAACAACAAAACTTTTGGTAAAATCTACATGTGCACTGGTGTTGTGAATGGTTCATCAGGCATCCAGACAACATAAATTTGAAGCTCACTTGGTTTGCACTGCATTTCAGGTGGAATTACTTTTGGAATTGTCACAAAGCCTAGATGCATATGAACTAACAAGCATATGCAAAGGCTCATGCAATGGAAAAGATGGTTACACAAAGCCGCTTACCTTGGCAGTCCTGAAGAAGATGAATTTTAGTTACAGGTTGGCACTTAGTGCATCTTCATCCAGCTGCTCAGAAACAGTTTTTCTGTTTTCTCTGTGCAGCACATTGTTGTCTGTTGACGTTAGTACTGGTGGTGCTGTGCTTCTTTGCCACACATGCATTTTACTTAAGAAGTCCCTGTCTAAAATGAATGCTTCCAGAAAGGTAACCAAAAGAATAATTACCTGAAGAATTGGAAACGTGGTTACTCCAGTTCCATGCACATTGTGATACAGGAGACATTACAAGCTCTATTTTTAAAAAAACTTGCCACAAACATACTTTGCTAACTAAATGATAATTCACTTCTGCCCCCACTGCCCTCTTACACGTAATGATGTTGTGACTATAATCGTACAACCATGATTGAGTTTAAAATTCACAAGCAGCTGGTATTGATTTTCAGTTGTGTGGTACCTTAAACCTAACAAAAACCAAAGTCTGTCAACTATGAGGAGAAGGTGATCGCCATGGGGGGAAGGGGGAAAGTGCAAACACTCCCCCCATCCCACTTGAATGCTGTATTTGAACTGGACTGATTTTCTTACATACCCAGATTCATTGTGTTTCAATTTCTTGATGATTCTTGATTAAGGAACCATTCCTTGCCACTGGCTATGGTGGCAAATGTGATTAGAGTTGCACACCAACCACATCAGGAGAGTTGTACTTTGTCCAACTCTTGTCTAGACTCGGAGGGTGTAGAGCCAGGGTAAGAGACATGTGGTCCTTCAGAGGTTGCCGAATGAAATTCTCATCTGCTCTACTTAGCACAGCAAGAGGTGAGGGATGATGAGAGTTGTAGTTTAACGACATCTGAAGGGCTCAGGTTTTCCATTCCTGGCCCAGAATGAAAGAATATCAAGAAAGTGTGATGATGCTGGGAATGACTTTAGATCCAAAGGTAGACAGATAGATATGAAATATCCTAGGTTTTTTTTAAAGGATCATGTGATAATGGCATATTCCTCTTCCATCTCAGGCTTACTAATAAATCTCTTATGCATAGAAGCAGAGCTCTGTCTGTGATGAGAGGTTTTGAACATACCTCTGCTCCTGAAACTCAGATTAAGGCCACCCTCACAAAATGATCTTCAACAATGACAACCTTCTCCCATTATTGTGCTCAAGGTGTAATGGGCCTAAGTAACCTAACCGATATTGCCTATAAATATCAGTTGCTGATTTCTGGGTGATTTCTGGGAGCTGTAGTCTTAAAAAAGAAACTTTTCCCATCAGTGAAGTTTACACAGACATAGAAAAAATGTGTCTGAGCAAAGTGGTCAGATTAAGCATCGATGTAACGAGAAGATGCTTTTGGCACTGTGTGTGAAGAGAAATATACCAAAGTCAGTGTGCAATGACAATAATATACAAAATGATGATTGCCTACTGGATACATAAAAATATTAAAATGATGTAATATGCATCACCTGGACACTGTCCAATTTTCTCATGATGAACTGGTTTATAAACCTTTATGCATGAATGAAAATTGTTGTCAGGTTTTTAGCCAATCAAATACTGACATCTGGAGCCCAAACAGTAAGGATGGAACAATATATTACTGCCTCACCACCACATCTGTTTACCTCACACAGTAGTAGTTGGTAAGTAAAGGCATTAATAGTTGTTTTACTCATCCCTTTCCATTTATAATAAGTGCATGCCGTCAAGCCAATTCTGACTCATGGTGACCTTTTCTAGGGTTTCCTAGGTACAGAATACACAGAAGTGGTTGACCATTTATTTATTTCTAACTACTGTATATGCTATTCCACATATTCCCCTCACCTCAGGTTTTTTCCTTCCCCAAAGGCTAAAAGCTATGGAAACCATATAAAAAGAAAAAGAAATCTCTGAGATGTAAAAACATATAAGAGGAGATCAGTGACAAAAGTGACAAAAGCAACCAAGAGCTGAGGACTTCAAAATAATATGTTAAAAATCGGCTAAGCTTAGCATTTGTTTGTATGTTTCTTTGAATTATAGCTTCCAGGATCCCTAAACCAATGTGGCCTGGAACATGTTTGGGAGGGATTCTGAGAGCTGAGGTTCAAGCAAACAACAAAAACCCATAACCATCTGAGTCAGTTCTCCACTGACCTGCAGCTGTTTTTGTACAAGATGGATGATGGTGTACTGAAGAATAACATAACAGGAGTTGATTCTTAGAACTATTGATTTTACAGGATATGACCCGGTCAAAATTTAAATAATTTTATGCTCTCAGTGACAGAGAACAACCATCTGTCAGATATACTTTGATTTGGATTCTTGCATTGAGCAGAGGGTTGGATTTGATGGCCTTATAGACCCATTCCAACTCCTCGCTTAGTGATTGCCTTGTTTAACGATGTATTCACTTAGCGATGAGGTTTTAGGAGCGACCTTGCACTCCGTTTAGCGATGTTTCCAATAGGGGAATTTTGCATAGTGATGTTCGGGATCATGCCTCGCATAGTGATGACAGTTTGGGTCCCCCTGTTTTGCTTAGTGATGTCTGTTTTCGCTATTTTTAAAGTGTCTTAAAATGTTCAAAACTGTTTTAAATGCTTGGAATCGTTAGTGCACCCTGTAAAACCTTTGCAAACTTAATTTGCCTTTGTTCTGAGTCTCCGTTAACTTTTGGTGAATTTCCCCCCCATTGGAATGCATTGACATCTGTCAAACCTACAGTTGAATGCATTTCAACGGGGGGAGAAAAAATTCACCAAAAATTAACCAAGACTCAGAACAGATCCAAATTAGGTTTGCAAAGGTTTTACAGGGTGCACTAACGATTCCAAGCATTTTAAACAGTTTTTGAACATTTTAAGACATTTTAAAAATAGTGAAAATGGACCTGTCAAAACCATAGAAATGCATTGAAATCTATTCAATGTATTCCAATGGGGGAACCGCGTTTCACTTAGCGATGTTTCCTATGGCGATTTTCGCTTAAGGACGGTAATCCGTTCCCATTGGAACAGATTATCCGGTTTTCAATGCATTCCTATGGGAAATGGCGTTTCGCTTAGCGATGTTTTCCCATAGCGATGGTTTTTTTGAACCAATTAACATCGCTAAGCGAGGCACCCAAAAATATCTCAGTCTATATATTTTACTCTCTCCCATTTGTTGTTTTTCAGGAACTATTGAGGAAACAAGCCATGTATTTGTCACACAGTAATTATAAGTAACAAGGAGTCAGCTCATTGGAATTTTTCATCCCTACTTGGGGAATGTGCTGTAGTGTTTATAATTTCTGATAAAAAATCTCCATAAACTTTGGAGATGCAATAACTCCAAGGCTCCAGGTAAACACCAATAGATGAACATTTTAGTAACCAGAGTTAAGTTTTGTTTCAGAATCCACACAAAATTTGATCTACAATAGAGATGTTCTATGACATTTTACCTGAGTACAGAATACAGTACGTGTGCATGCATGGATTGGACTACACTGCATTGTATATATTGATTGCTTTCCTTCTGAGTAGGGCACCCCAGCAATTTATAACATACATAGCAACCAATTTTAAACAAACCAAAGGCCCAATGAAACAACAGTTTCGATCATCCACTGAAAGCTCAGCAAGGACGGAGCCAGCTGGACTTCCCTGTGGAAAGAATTTCCCCACTGAGTTGCTGCTGCAGAGATAGGCATGTCTTGTGTACCCACAGAGCGAAGCCCTTTGGAGTTTGTGAAAGATACACAATAACAGCAGATACCAGGAATTTTCCAAGCCACCCTCCCGCCCACTATCTGGCTTAAGGACTCCTCATGACTCATCATTAAATTGGCTGTCAGAAGTGCTACACATTAGCACCGATCTTTGAAAGCAGGAATGAGGATGCAGCAGCCACCTCCTCCATTTCCCTGTTGTCACCACCACCACTGCCCCTATCATCTGTTGCAACTGCCATGGATGGGCAGCAGCACAACCACCGCCATGTCCTTCTCCCTTTCCAGATGGAGAATTACTTCCTTCTATTTTATGGGCATAAAATAGAAGGAGGCACTTGGTATCCCAGCTGAGATGGTGCGAATGGTGGACTTTGAGATATCTTGGCTCCAAGGTCAACAACTGAACCTTGAAATGAACTCAGGAAGCAATTGGGAAGCAGTGCAGGACGCAGGTGATATTTTCACCTGATACACTGATCACAAAGCCTATGTGATGCACATTTAAATCTTGCTCTTCTGTAATGCTGTCACCAAAAGGCTTACAATGAAACAAATAAATTTCATAGGAGAAGTTCAGGAGAAAAGAACTTGGGATCTGGGGTTCAGGCCAGGCAAAGCTGGGGAAGGGGGTATCCAGCAACCCCTTTTTTCCTGCAGTCCTAAGCTCCCATTCTTTCAAAAACTCTGGTCATTCTGCCGCCACCACCCTTGTTCTGTAATGGGAATAGAAGACAAAAATATCTCAGGTAGCTCAGCCAAGAGCGATGAGACACTTTGGACTTAAAATTGATTAGCTCTGCACCCACAACACAAGTGGACAGTTTAAAAGAGAGCAAAATTGATTCTGCAGAATCAAATTACTTAAAAGTAAAAATGGAATTTAACAAACTCCATGGCCACAGATCTTTGGGAGCTGAAATAAGGTTTTCTTCAAAATATCTATTATATCTTACCTACACATATCCACTCGGTAGTACAGTAGTAGTTCAGTAGTGTTTACTCTCAGGTGAGTGGGTATAAAACCATGGTAACAAATTGTTTACAGATTCTCACTGACTGAATCTCATGGATAGCTCTTTCAGGTGAATTTGACAAAAGAAATGCTATAGTTTCATTAATATAAAATATTTATAACTCACATATTGTCCCCTCACAAGGACACTCAAAGTGGTTTATAAAGATATGAAAGGAAACCCTTAAGAAAACATAACATGTTTTAAGAACATGTAGCTTCTTCTGCTACACTGCAATTGGGAACTTGCAGTTCACTTTGTTCATGTAATGTTGACCAGTTGCCTTCTGTTAAGCTGGTGGAACAGTTCAACCTATGCTAGATACGTATCCACTTACATTTGAACAGTTTTTGCATCGTGTTATGGAACGTGGATGAGCTCAGAGAATGGCTTCATGCTAAATATGTTACATGGAAATAAGGCGTGCTGATTTATGGGAGGATTATTTCTGTATCAACCCCAAACTCCACAAATAATAATATTAATGAACAGAACTGGCGGCTCCCCTATGAGCATCCACTGCCACTTTCCCGGATTTCCAGTCACATGCAGGAGTGCGGCAAGTTTTCTCGCATTGTGAGGTAGGTCAATGGTTCAGATTACTACCTCACCAGATGGTTAGTTTTCACATATTATGGGCAGGCAAAACCGCTCAAATGGTCACGCTCCTCATAGAGACCACTACATAGTTGACATAAATATCCAAAGAGAGACTATTTCGGCTTCAGAAGGAGTTCTAAGGCAGAGCACCCCTGCTGTGTTCTACCTGGTGTTTGAATCCCGAGCCGGATGCAAGACAATGGGATCTTGTTCGCAGACTTACAGTCTACAAAAGACAGGAGTAGCAGTGCAACAGGCATAGTATGTCTTTAGGGCAAAGTTCCTAGTCCCACTTAGCAGAAGAAGCAGGATAGCACCTCCAAACTGCATATTTTTTGCCAGACCATCTTGAAATAACATGCATTGCTACTAATAATTATATGCCATCAAGTCAATTCAGACTCATGACAGCCTTTTTCCAGAGTTTTCTAGCTGTAGAGAAGTGGTTTACTATTGTATTCTCGACACCCGTCAATCACAATGACAGATCATCTCACAGTGACAGATCATCACAAGGATACACCCATAACATACAAGCAAAAAACCCTGATCACCATAATCACCCAATCTCCTGAAAAGGACAAAAAGCTGATCCCACAGCTATAAATACTCAACTATCCCACACACTACTCCAGAACACAGACAGAGTTCTAACTCCTGTCCTCTGAAGATGCCAGCCAGAGATTGATGAAACGTTAGGAAGAAACACCTTCAGAACGGATAAACAGCCCAAAAAACCTACAACAACCATTGGTTTACGATTCCTTTCTTCTTGTAGTACCCTGGAACTGTGCAGCTTGACCAAGGCTATACAGGCTAGCTCCTCTCCCAGAGAGGCACAGTAGAGAATTCAAAACACCCCCACTCTGACTCCGCAGCCAGCCTACCTATCCTGCCTACCCAACGAATCTCTGTAAGACCATAAATTCTTTAGTCCAAGACAGAAGTAAGGAACCTTTGGCCATCCTAAGGTTTTGGATATCAATTCATATAAATTAGTCCTACCAGGCACCATTTTTATACAATATCTTACTGTGTCAGACCATGAAAGCTATAAATAGGAAGTCCTTTCCGTATTTTTTTTTTATATCTGGAAACTGCAGGAAGGTGTACTACCTATTATCCTATCGCAATGCAATTACTGTTGTGTTCATTGATGTGTATATTCTTGCTTTCTCTCTCTGTTTGATGTTTAAAGACCACCTATCTAGCAGCAAAGGAAACACTGGTTGTACTGTTACTCTGTGTATACAGAAAAGAGTTTAAGTTGTTAAAGGCGGGTTAAGGAATTATTTATAACTAAGCAGCCTACTTTGTTAAAAGAGTTAGCATTTGGTCTGGAACAGAGGTTCCCAAGAAAAAGCTAGAGATTGCCACTGAACAATTTCATATCATACATCCCTTTTGACAGCCTATGAATTATATTCTGGTTTGATATGAGGTTTAGTGGAAGTCAACATTAATTATAATAGTGGTTAATTACATCTGTCAGCAAACTTCAAGATTTTTTTGTCTTTCTTTTTCAAAATGACTCAACGGCGCATTTTCTCTTATTTGTTGATAATTGAATGAAAGAATTCAATTCTAAACTGATTTGATGCTATCTTCTGGGAGCAACATTGACACTTGAATAGGCACAGATTGTGATAGTAGCCTGT